GAGGCCGGTTGCGGTTATTTACGAAAATGTAAACCTACTAACGCGTTATTTTTCTCCCCGTAACGTTTTGTCACCGTGCCCTGACCTCCGTTCGTAATGCACTGAGACGATTTTATTAAAAAACGGAGCGTTACAGGGGTTGGGAGGCTTCTGGTGTGAGGGGGGAGGAGAAACACCAAAGATTAAGAGCAGCCAAAAGCGGAGGAGACCGAGTGCAGCCTGGATATGGCAGAGCTGGAGCAGGCACAGCTACACTGAGAGAAAATCTGGTTAGAAAGCTGTAATTTCTGCGGAGGATGAGGCTGGGATTACTGACTCCATGGAAGGCTAATGTCAAACTGATTATTCTTTAGGTAAAAAAAAAAATAATTAAAATCAAAGGAGTAAAGAGTTCACTGAAATGTGAGAATGGCCAATTCTTTGAGAGGTGAAGTGTTGAATCTGTACAAAAATGTAAGTGTTCAATACCACAAGCACTTTCCTTAACCAGACAAAACCCTTTTACTGCACGCTCAGCCTATAAAAGCCCCTTTTTTTTTTCCTTTAAGCTGCTGTACCTGGGAAGGGAGTATCCCAAAGGAGCAGACTACTTTAGAAGCCGTTTGAAAGCAGCTTTTCTAAAAAATAAAGATGTGAAAGACCCTGAAAAAATCAAGCAACTCATCGCACGAGGAGAATTTGTTATCAAAGAGTTGGAGGCTTTGTACTTCCTCAGAAAATACAGAGCTCTGAAACAGCGCTACTACAGCGACGACAGCCAGTAATGGGCATTGAGGACTTCGCGTGTAACGATACAATTCCATGAACAATAAAGGAGCTGTAACCTCAGAAGAACTGAGACGTAAATCTTTCCAACCCATCCAGAGTAGAAATTAGGAATTTGCTTCCCCTCAAGTAGTTGCTTGAAGGACTTGGGGTTTTTATGTGGGCAATAGGTTTTTCTCAACTACCTCTGACTTCCTTGAACTAAAGCTTCACGTACGAAACGGTTTTGCAGGAAACAGCGGTAACGTAATTCTGTTCCATTTCCCTGCGCTGCAGATGCTGAACAGGTAGCTCCTCTTAGCCGATAGCTTGGTGTTTGAATGCCGATTCAAGGCACTACACTTCTTGTTACTTGGAAGATTCATCAATTTTTAGTGTCTTCCACCTTTTAATGATTCATTTCCAGCGTAAATGAGCACCTTCTCCAAAGCAAAGATTTGAACTGCGTCTGCTAAACGTGCACGAGCCACGCTGGCGGGGACGGTGCCAGGAAGGGGGCGATTTTGAACAACAGTGGTTTAAGCACTTTAAACCCTAAAGACAGTTCCTGCTACTGCCAGTTTCTGATGCGGTGTAACCGCTGTAGCGGGAACACAGAACGTTACCCTTCTCCCTGGAAGAGAGGTGCGACCGTGGCGGTTTGCTCCCTGGGTAACTCTGTACGCCTTGGCTTGTCTGTAGGCAAGGCAGACTTGTGCCAGAACTGATCCTCTGCACATGCTCTGTTTTGTAGGATTCTACCTGCATTTCTGTCCCATCTCCAGTATCATTTAGGTATTTGGGGAGATCACTGCAGCAGAACTGCCGACAACAGCAACATCAGCTTCAATTCCGCTACATGTTGCGTTTAAACCTCTTCTGAACACGTACCTTCAGCTGCAGAATTTAACCTACCCTTGTCAATAACTGCTAAAAGTTGATTATCCATACCTGGTAACAAAGGGCCAAAGTGTAAGGTTATAGAGCAGCAGCGGTTTCACACCTTTTTCCCCCGCAAACAACGCCATCAGTCAAGTGTCCTTCACCTTTTCTCCAAGCTTATGGAAGGCAGCTGACAGAAGAAAACACACACAGCGGGGAAGGAACACAGAATGGTTGCTCAGGGTGTTTTAAACCTGCGGACCCATTCAGGGCTGCAGTCGGGCTGACGACAGCAGGGTCTGCGGGGCACAACCGGGGGCGGTGTGGGCCAGGCGGCATGCGGCCAGCCAACAAGACGCGTGAAGCGCGGCTCTGCTCGTCGCCAGGTACAGGACGCAAAGGCTGCAGAGGTAAAGCGTTCTGTCCGCTCGTGGGATAATCCGTTAGAGCTGAGGCACTGAAATTCTTGGAGAGAAAAAGCAAACTGGGACAGAAACCCACAATAACTATTTTTTATTACATTACAATAAATAGGAGCAGTACAGTTTGACAAAAAAAAAATGACAAATTCCAGATCACCTCACAGCACATACTCCTAAAAACATTAAAAATTTTAAAACAAACAGTGGTCTTTTTTTTTTTTTTTTCTTTTTTTAACTTAATGTCTGGGTATGACCAACATTCCTAGGTCACGCAACTGAATGATGGAAAAAACTGGATCACACTGCATATGTTCCACATCAAATAAAGCACAATGTACAAAATGTGCATGTTTCAGTTTACACTATACAAAAATAGTTAAAATACATTCCAGGTAAACATATTACATTAAGAAGTCATTCTAGTAAGAAGTTGGCACTCAAGAGGAAAAAGCAGAAGTATTTTCAACATGAAAACACAAGACAGTGGAAGAAAGAAATGTTGGGAAGGATTTACCATCTATGTAGCTTTATGTAAACTTGAGACAGAATGATTTCTTTACAGTTTTGATGGTCGTTGAAGGTACTAGTTGTATTGCTTCGTAGTACAGACGAGAGCAGAGGATTGTGTGTCAGTATCTACCCACTGCAGCGATCCCGTGACCGTAACAAAACTGATGCAGTGGAATTTACAGCAAGAATCGTATGGCGAGGAGACCGGTCAAAAAGAATTAAGTTTGGGTTTTGAAACAAAACCGAGCAATAGCGTTGTTTACCGGAGTTACATAAAGCTACTGTAAGAAGGTGTTACTCCCTGACACGTGGCAACTGGATGCGTGAACGCAGCAAGCGATTCACACGCTCGTTTAGTAGTTGCTGTCGGAACGGACAGCACCCGGGTATGTTCTTGGAAAGCATTTCAAATAGGGGAAGACAGAATAATCATGAGATCAACTTGTGCAAGCTGCAATCCAACATGCTTCACCAAATCTCGACAAATACGAAAGACAAAACTGCACAACAGCGGCAAGGATGTGGGTTTCCTTTAAAAAGCAAAGTAAATAAGGGCTCATCTAAACGGATTTTGTACTAATTTAATTAGATTGGTGGCTACAGATGCCGTTTAGTGGGGGAAAAAAAACCCAACCCTGTTTTATATATAGCTTTCCATTAGAGCTTTATAACACCACATTTGATAGACATTTCAGCTTAAATTTCTAACAGTTTTTAGTTAAATTAGCGTAAGAATTTTAGACCAGCCCTAATTTTACATGCAGTGTGACTCAGTTACCAAGTACCTTAACCTTCAGATTACTTCCATTTGCTCAAGGTATACTACCCACTTTTGCTACGTTCCTCATCTATCATCAAGAGTGTCTAAAATGTGCAAACAACTAACGGTCTCCCAAATGTTTCAACCTCAGAAGGTGCAAAACGTGTTGCGACATTAAGAATCTGTTCTTTTTCCTTATTGGTCCTTAGAAGACACACGTTAGGTTCTATTACTGTTTTTCAAAGTATTTCGTAGTCTGTAGCGTATTTCGCACCCAAGCTGAAAGGAGGGGAGGTGGGGCTGGGTTTTGGGGAGGGGAATGGGGGGGCGCAGGCAGGGAAAAGCGTTATTTCTCTCAGCCGCGCCGCAGTTCAAGAACACGCAGCAATCCGGACAGCACACACCCTCCCCCCCGCCAGCTTTGCTGCTTTCTCACCGTGGGGGGGTTTGTAGAAGCACGACGATCCTTCCCTCACCCGGCTGCACCTCTGACATCACATCAACGGTCCAAGTCACTCAGGCATAGGAAAACCGCACTGGGTAAGACTTCCACATCATTGTGTAGGTGTACCCGAAGTGCAATGCTGCAATTCCCTGTGCCAAGCTTTCCAGTGGCCTGAACTATCCTACTTCAGCGTCTCCTGGTTTATTTTTACAGGTACACCAGTCACATTTTCCAATTTTGCTCTGCAGCCCAGTTAGGTACCGCGAAGCAGCGTACCTGCAGGCACCCCGGCCCGAAGGAAACGACGCCACACATACGGCAAGACAACGGAAACTGGCAACACCGGAATTCCTGGCTCTTCCTTCAGTGCAGAATAACTAGACTACTGCAGTACCAACAGGAGAGCGGCTACAAAAATTCTGCATTAATGCCAATCAGGGGGGAAAAAAAAAAAAAAAAGAGGGGGGAGAGGGATCACAAGAGAACTTAACCACGGAGAAAGACGACATTAAAACCTCGCTCTGGCTTTGCGACACTGGAACTCCACTCACCACCCATTTCACCTGTGCAACGACACTGGTACTTCACAGACATCACACCAACACCACGGACCCTGGAAACCATGGTCTGTGCAAACTCGACACCATTTTTATGGCACAGTGGATTTCCAAGTCATTTGCATGAAGCAGCTAAATCCAACTCATCCGTTCACTCATTTGATGTTACTGCAGTTTAAAAATTCCTCCCCTATTTTGCACAAAATGGGCATCCGGAAATATTTCATGCCACTCTCGGGGGACAGAACCAGAATGGTTTAACTTCACTATATAATTTAAGATTAATTCTGATTTAATTCTAATGGCAACTTCTGGATCCATGTATGAATTAACCTAAGAATTTGAATCAACTGATCTGTTAAGGCTTTGCAGTATTTCCTAGAGACAAAGGGTGGAATCCTGTACCTACTGAACACAGCTCCTTAAAGATCTGCCCCCAGGGGGGTCAGCAGAGCTAGGATTTCACCCTGGTCTTCACACACAAAACGTCAGTGAGTCTTAAAGCAATGCATTAACAACAGCAAATCAACCTAATTAGAACTTTTACTTTTTCCATTGCCAGATGTGCATTGTTGTCTTTTTTTAATTTTTCTTTTTTTTATAGAAAAAATAGAGTATTTAAGGAGTGACCGTGACAAATTGCAGTGAAAAATTTTCTGTGTGAAAGTTTTATCTTTACATTCATTACAGTTGATCTGAAATGCTACAAGACTAGACGCCTAGAAGCAAAATCTACAGGAAGACTATAAAGGCTTCTGGTCTCTCCATATTGCAGTCAGTCTAAAATAAAAGAAAGGCTGAAATTCAAGTCTCTTTTGCTAACTAGTCCTTTTTCCCCAACCAGATTGAAAAAAAAAAAAAAAAAGCCCAAAAAATTAAAGGGGATGTTAGAATGTGTAGAGCATCATTTCATTGTTTGGTTTGCACACAGAAGTTCACAATCAGTAAGAAAAATAAGAAGTTAGCAACTGTGCATGCACCGAAGAGTCCCAAGACAATTCTCAGGGTTTTTTTGTTGGATGGGTGTTTGTTTTTTTCACAGGCGTTGCTAGTTCAAGAACCAACAGTCAAAGAATACTGGCACTTTAAGAGGAATGAAGTTTCCACTGTCATTTAAAACAAGCATTCAGGTAAAGCTAACAGGATCATGAAGCAGAAAATAAAGTAATGCTAAAACGAAGGCTAATAATTTAGTGTAATGTACAAAAATTACTTAAGTACTTCTTAAGAATAAGGATAAATTGTATTTACATAATTATACACTTTGTCTTTGTCTTCTTTTTCTTCTTTTTACCATCTTTGCTCATCTTCTCTTTGTGTTTTCTGATTTCTCGAACTAATGTATAGAAGGCATCATCGACACCCTGAAAAGAGACACACAGGCACACATTAAGACCGCATGAACAGACCGAGGCACCTGCTCAGGCACGGCCTGCGTTGGCGGGAGCCGGTAGGTGAGGTGCGCTCCATCGGCCCTCTGGTTCGCTGCACTGCCTTCTCCTTTCTGAGGCTTTTATGACGTCCCCTGGAAGAGGCTGGAGGAACTCCATTCCTGTTTCTTGGGAAGGGGTGTGCTGGGAAAACTGCATTCGGATGGAAAGGGCCGCATCAGAGGAACAGTCTGACTGCGTTACTGTGCAGGGGCAGAGGTGCTGCAGGAGAGCAGCTTTGAGGAGCGGGCTCCCATCATTTGAACAGAAGCTCCCAGCTACAGGCTGCTCCTCTCCCAAATTCCGAGGAGCATGGAAAGAGCCAACTGAACGAACTGTTTTGATGCCAGCAACAGCCAACACCCGCCTGCCCTCCTCAGCTGCTCCCCAAAGCGGGCTTACAGCAGCCTGCAGGCAACGCACTCCTCGGGCCGAGCACCGACACCCCACAGGTCCAATTCCATGACTGATGAGGTAAGGGAAGTAATTTAGTGTACTGCCCTCTTCTCCATCTCAAAAATGGTACGTGTTGTCCCATCTCAAACTAGGGAAGTATAGGTACCAATGTTTAGATTGTAAGACTGCAGAATAAAGTTCTGAAGCGTAAGTTAGCTTTGGTTATAGCTTAACAATCTATATGCAGTTTGAAAAAGTAAACACGGATATTTGTAGCAAGAATTCAATTCTACATGTTCAGGTCATTTCTCAGGCACATTGATGTAGTAATCACAACACAGTTTTATAAATCTTTACAATCAAATCAATCCCATGTTCCCATGATCAACTATTGTTTGATAAATCATTCCGTTTGAATTATATAGAGACACATGGAACACATTATCGACAGTGCTGTATCATGTAGAATCACTCAGAAATCTCCACGACTCCAACAGTTAAGCTACAGGCACAAAAGCTAAAGCTTCTTCACAAATCAGTGTTTTTTTGGGGGTAATCATAGCTGGGAAAAATTAACTCTGGTCAAATGCGATCAGCGTATGTAAAAGCCTGACATGAACTGTGATCAAGCCCAATGCTACACGGCATACTCTGTAACAACCTATTGACCTGACACAGCCTGTTCTATTGCCTGGCTTTCAGGTTGCTCCGAATCCCAATCCAGTGCTCGTGCCCTCAGCCAGCCTTTACGTTCAACAGTTTGAGCACTGACAGTCATAAAATCATTAAGATAAGAAGCGATGTTGATTCTTCACTAACTTACTCCTTATGTCATCTTTTAGATGGATCATAAATAGCTGTATACTGTTAATGTATCACAGCAGCCCACTGCATCACTACAGAACTGCGTCTAGACATGTAGCCCTGCAGCTGGCAGGCAGCTTCCCACCTCCTGTCAGCTAACAGAGCTGAAGGCACTTCAAGCTGCCAGTAAAAATTAGCACTCTTCACTCCTGTGTGCCTACTTCAGTAAGAGAAGCGAAAGGGAACTCTGGAAAAAGCACAACAACAAAAAGGCAAGAGTCATCTCATACATGACTGCTTCAAACACGAAATGGTGATGAGACTTAGCACAGGCAGTCCCAAGAGCAGCGAGGTGATAAGTAGCTTCACTTACAAAGCAATGAATCATGGAATGGTTTGGGTTGGAAGGGACCTTAAAGCCCATCCAGTTCCAACCCCCTGCCATGGGCAGGGACACCTTCCACTAGACCAGGTTGCTCCAAGCCTCATCCAGCCTGGCCTTGGACACTCCCAGGGATGGGGCATCCACAGCTTCTCTGGGCAACCTGTCCCAGTGCCTCCCCACCCTCTCCAGGAAGAACTTCTTCCTGATATCCAATCTAAACCCCCCCCCTTTCAATTTAAACCCGTTACCCCTTGGCCTGTCACTACAGGCCCTTGTAAAAAGTCCCCCCCAGCTTCCTTGTAGCCCTTTCAGGTACTGGACGGTGCTATAAGGTCTCCCCGGAGCCTTCTCTTCTCCAGGCTGAACAAGCCCAACTCTCCCAGCCTGTCCCCATAGCAGAGGGGCTCCCGCCCTCTGAGCATCTCCGTGGCCTCCTCTGGACTCGCTCCAGCCGGTCTATCTCCTTCTGGTGTTGAGGGCTCCACAGCTGGACGCAGCACTCCAGGTGGGGTCTCACAAGAGCAGAGTAGAGGGGGAGAATCACCCCTCTCCCAGTATGGCCTAAATTTATTCTAAAACTTCACATTCAACTTCACAAAACATTCACAAGTAACTCTTGTTCGATCCAGGCCCTTGGCAGCCCATCTCCCCATACTAACAACACACATTTGCAAGGTCTTGTAATACACAAAATACACTTGCAAGCTGTTCTACATTTTAAAATATTATTGATCAACATAAAATTGATGTAGTATGCCTAATGGAAGAGTAGCCTGGGCTCTGGGAAAGGTCATGTCACCCATGAATCTTTTGAGAATTAGGAACGCTTGGTGTTATTTTAGAGAGCGCTAGCGTATTTTGCTTGTAATTTCAGCATTAACACACAACACAAACCTTTAGCAAACGTTTAGGGAAATGATGTAGGAATGACCTCTCAAAGTGCATCTACTGCACTTGCCATCCCAGACAGTCAGCTGGGAGGAAAGCACCGAGATCAATCACAACAGACAGAAGAGTCTCATTCTCAGAACACGAGAACGGTGTAAGAAAAACCTCTGCGCAACATTCTTTGACAAGACTGCTCGTGTACCCTTACAAAATCTACCTTTCAGTATTCCACACTCCTCATTAATGTGTCAAAAATAATCATTACAAGGACAGTCACCGGCTTTCAGCAGCATCTTCCAATGCGACGTGCTAAACAAAAACTGCAATTTAAGTCTTCAACAGGCAACCCTCCCTCATTAAACCGTTCTTAAACTACAGAGAAAATAACTTGTGCAAAAGAATATCCGGAGACCATTGTGGGCCTTTAAACACAGGACTTCTGGGTTCAGGCTGAAACCTCTGTTCTGCCCTAGTAGGGTGATGAGCTGTTAAATACAGCGCATGTCGCAACATACCAGGGAGCTGACTTGGCTTTCCTCCGTGCATTTACACCTCTGGAGATCAAGCCTTTAAAATGATTAACTATTAATTTAGTAGTTCAGTCCAGCCACAGTTCCTCTTAAATTCAGGTAATGACTATAACAGGACATATAGAACCACATTCAGAGTATTTGTGAATTAGAAATGGAGAACTCAATCCACAGACTGAAGAGTGAAAGACCTCAGTTCATGTTTTAACCGCAGATAATTTTTATCCAGGCTCAGAATTAAAAACCCCAGATTCACTGTGCGTGCTCAGAACTATACCACACTGCCTCAGTTAAGGTGCACTGACAGAACTTGCTCCTGGCACTTGATTTCCCAAGGGCAACTAAGAAATGAAAACAGAAGAGTCTGAACTGTGTCTGTCCTGGCCACAACTTTTCATTGGTCCCATGACCACACAGAAGTCTGTAAATCTAGTTATATGTATGTATGAGACCTGTCAACTAACCTGACTGTCAATAAGAAACCCTAAACTCATAAGGAAACTAGAATTCCTAAAGACACCAGGCTCAAATAGGCCCTTAAACAAGCTTATAATTGTTTAAGAGTGCATTTTTAATACATACATTTTTAAGAGATATAATACGCACACACACGCGTATCAGTCAGATTATTTGTGTACCTCAGTAGTACAATGGAAAAAAATAATGAAATTAAGAGTTTTAACCAAAATTCTAAAAATTAATGAACTTCAGTAATTCAAACATTGTAATAACAACCCAGCTCAACCTGAATCGCCTCATCTAGATGCCCGATTTATGCCTTAGAGAAACTCTTCTTCGTAGTACGCTTTTTATGCAAAAGCTTTAATGCTTTCAAGAAAGACCTTTTGAGGATTTGACACTGCATTTCAGAAATTTCTTCCTGCTAGCTGGAAATAAGATGAGCAAAAGGTGTTACGTACTTTTGGAACCTCTCAGAAAGCATCAGCAGTTAACGGTAGGTAATCTGGGTTGTCAAAGTCTTCACCTACCTTGTATAGATTAACTCGACCAAGAAGGTATCCCGTAAGCAGCAGGAAGGTAAACTGAATATTCCAAGAGGCAGCAAAACTCTGGACCATCATATTTGATTATCCACAGACCAAAAAGGAAAATAAATACTGACTATCACTGCAAATTGTGTTATGAGTATTTCTGAAGTCTCAAATCCCAGCTGAAAGACTCTCATCATTAGGTGCTGCCCTCCTCAGCTTATCTGCTATACATCCGACTGAAATAATACGCATCTTCTTACTGAATAAAAAGCAATTCCAGCCAGACTGTTTTAAACATTGGATTTCTTATTCCACTGGAATCACTACTCAACTACAGCTGCAGCGCAGCAATTTTGGAATACGGTTGCTGAAATGACTATCGATACTACTCAGAATTCACTCGTGTACTGACAAACGTTTCCTCCCCTCAGCAAACGCTCTTGGAGTTCTAGAGTCCTGTAGTTATCGTTGACAAAAAGAGATTCCCCCCATTTGGGGAAGACACCACCACCACAACCAAACTGTACTTCTCTTGGCCATAGGCAGAAAGAAAGGAGGAAGCTGGTAGAAAGCAAGCTGAGCTATCAAAAAGAACCTTAAAAATCTGAAAAGATGCTTCTGCTGAAAATAATGAAAAACACAACTGCCACCATCCCATTCTCATTCTCCCAAGGAATTCCAGAGAGGAAAACCCGACAGAATTCAGGATCTTTACAGAATAAGTACTAATCTGAGGTAGGCTACACTAGTGAGACAGCAAGAAACACCAAAACTGGTTTTCAGAAGGCTACACGAAGGAGGTTTAAGCAATTTAATTCATACTGTCGTCATCAAAAGTAATCCTGCCAAGCAGCTGTTAGCTGTTTTTCACTAACTAGGGAAGAATAAAACAAGGTATGTTGATGGCATCAATTTTATTGATATTTGGGTGCAAGACTG